TGCTAAACAAGGCCCACTTACAACTGCAAAAATCTACATGCAGTGTTTGATCCTGCTCCACGTAACCTGAATAGAAGGATTCACGTTGACCTGAATACAGCAGATTGGAGCCCGTGACCTTTATAATCTGCTAGACATTCTCAAAGAATAGGTACAATAATTAAAGATGCCATTTAACTAATCTAATTGCCTAATGTGCCATTGCACACTTGGCATACTTTGCACAGTGTAATAGCAGTGAGACTGCAAAAGTAAGCAAACAAACAATGTGTAAAGATAAAAGTAGTTTTCAAGCCTTTAGTCCCTGATATTTTGCTTACCCATGTTCTCAGTGCAGGACATTCCCTGGGGTTAATGACCACCTGGAGTTAATCAATTCCACTCCCCAGGAAATGCTGTGCTTCAATTGTTTTTGCCTAATTATCAGTTTATCTTTTTAGGTGGAATTTGTATGCGCTCCAAAAGGTATTTGTAAAAAAGACTGGCATTTACTCACCTGGTAAACAGCAGATGTCTTATTGAGAAAGCTAGAAAGAGCAAAGACTCCAGCCACATCTTGATGATACCTGTACGCTAAATGCATTGCCATGCCACCTCCCATGGAAAAACCTCCTAAAACGTGACCAAAAAAAAAAAGACACTGGGATTTAGTTATGTCTTGCTAATCTAACATCTGAATTGATTATTTTCAGAATATTTTAGATTTTAGAAAAATATATATATAAAAAAACAAACTAAAATTCAGTTAGAAAGCTGTACAGCTAAAAAGAGGAAAAATTAATAAACCAGAATGGTTCTATTTCATAATCCTCTCATTTAATGGTCTCCACCAGCTGTTTGGACATTGTAGGTGTGTGTTTTATAGACAATGCAAGAATTTCATGCTGTGGGTAGGGCTGTCAACTCCAGTTCTTCAGGTGACTTTTTCATACTGTCAGTCTAGCACTGATGAAAGTGGTATTTTGGGGGCGGGACTTTCCGCTGCCTCTGTCCGGGGTGGTATTTTGGGGGCGGGACCTTCCGCTGCCTAGGGCGGCAAAAAAGCTGGCGGCGCTCCTGCCATCACTGTACATAATCAATTATTCACACCACTGGACCACCATGCCAGGCAGACTGAGATCCTCTCTTTTTTCACAGGAGAGATATGGCATGGGTGGTGCAGCTGGACAAGCTGAAACACTTCCCCACAATGTGCCCTACCCCTATTCTAATAGATAACTTTGAAGGGTAAGAGAATTGATTACTCTCTCTACTCATTCAACCCTTGTCTACCTTTTGAGAACAATAACTAGGCTGCCACCAGCATTTTTTTTTTTTTTAAAGATGACAGATACTTGCCTGTTAGGAAATGGACTATGACCATCAGGTTACTTTCCATGTACACAATGTAGATATATATATATCTCCTCAATATATGTTCCATTCTATATGCATCCGAAGAAGTGGGCTGTAGTCCACGAAAGCTTATGCTCTAATAAATTTGTTAGTCTCTAAGGTGCCACAAGTACTCCTGTTCTTCTTTTTGCGGATACAGACTAACACAGCTGCTACTCTGAAACCTGTCACAATGTAGATGGTATTTTATTATTGTATCCAGCTAACAGAGGACATTAGAAGGGAAGCACTTAGCTGGAATGACTGTCCTGTTGAAATCTCTCTCAGTGCACAGACATAAGCTGACAGAGAATGGTTATGACTTATGCTTAATTAGAACAGTACTTTTACACAGTTCGCTTATTTGGTGGTGCATTTGGGTTTCACCAAGTAGTTTGACTGGTGCTAAAAATAGATGTGAAGTTCTGAGTTCTGAACTTTTTAAACACAAAAGGTGCTGAATATAGATTAGAGGAAAAAGAAATACAAATGAAATGCAGTATGATTTTGACTGGGGCTTTTAAAGGCAGAATGGCAGGTTGATGTCATAGTCCATTCACTGGGTTGACCCAGCTCCACTCTACTTCTGCCCTGAACAGCATTTACACAAAGCTGCTAGTGTGGAATTTCTGTAAAGACACTGCACTGAGCATCAACCTAACTCTGCACTGTATAATTTAGGTACTGTGGACTTGACTACGTGTTATGACAGTGTATCCCAAGGCACAGGGCAGAAAAATCTGTCTGAGGGTAAGAGCAGCAATGGTGACAGATGACTACAGGGGACCAGTGCTACATCGAAAATGTGAGGCCCTAGCAGGGGGGAAGGAAACAGCCAACATGCCAGGGGATGCACAGATAGGCGCGGGCAGGGGTGGAGGAGACCAGAACGCAACTTAAAACTGCACCTTGTACCACCCCCGCTGAAACCCCCAGGAGAGAACCTGTGCAAATACCGCTTGGTCTTCTCCAGCAGGAAATTTCCTTTTGGGCACAGCATCTCCCGCGTCTGTTTATCACACAAAAGGCTAAAGTTCAATGGCAAAACAGAGAACTCAAAAGACCACCACAGAAAAAAACCTCAACTATTAATGCAGGTTCATGAATACAGGGAGGGAGAGAGACACACACACTCTCTGAACATCTAGATAAAATGTTACAACTATCCAAAACTCACTTCTGTAAAACAGCAATCTGTCTTGGCTGAAGTGTGCTTTCTGCTCTCTAGTGAGATCCAATTGCTTCTCACCCACTTCCTCATGCCACTCAGGCATGCCATCTTCCAAACTCACAAAAATATAGTGTATTACACTCCAAAAGGTTATTTTATGTGTTTATATCCATACATATATACATATAAATGCACACACTATACACACAGATACACATTGTCCATATGTAAATGTAAGCACATTTTTATGTTTTAGATTCTAGACAAATGTGTGCATTGAAAAGCCATTACTAGTTTGTAAATGATTTAATCTAAAATTTTGCACCCGGTTAGTCACACTCTGGCAAGACTATCTGCAATTACTCACCAGCAGTCTTTGACAATGCAATCACCTTCTGTGTAGAAGAATATTAGGTAATGGTGCTTTCATGTGGCTCGTACTACTATGAGAAAATTTAATACAAAGGGCTAGTTCTTTGAATTCAGTTTTCCATGGGAAAATCTGCACTTTATCACTCAATACCACAGTAGCGTCTGGGTAAATACTATATAGTAAATGCTTCGCAGACAGTGATTTCAATGAGTATTTATACATGAAGGCAAAATATTATGATTCCAAAAGGATAATATTTCAATGTACATCTAAGTTTGACATAATACATAAAACACATGTTCACTCAAGGAGTTATTTTTTAAAAGACTTGAAATATTAAAATGAAACAAAAATGAAATATACACAGTTGTTACAGAAAATAAGATCTCATAACTGACACAACTTACAAGATACAAGCAAACATAGACGATAACTACATGCAAGTTTAAGTACCAATTATCTCAGTATAAGGAAAGATAGCATGGAACATGCAAGACTTACAACATTACTAACCAGATTCTGTTGTGAGTATCTATCAATGATGCAAGTTCAGACGTTTTAATTTTAGATGTGCAGACCACTCCACTCCCGAGGAGTACACGGAGTGCCATTAAAATATTAGAATTTGCCAATAGGTTCCCCATAAAAACATCTGCAAGTATCACAGATTTTCCCTTATAATTACAATTTGAGAGATATGTGGTTAGTGCTTTGTAACAGTTAGTAAATGTTGGCTTTATCATGGATTCTGCTGCATGTCAAGAACAGTGATCAAAAAGCAATATACTCTCCTGTGGCCCTGATTCAGCAAAGTACTTAACTGTATGCTTAAAGTTAGGGCACACAAGTAATCTTATTGACATCAAAGGGGTGACTCACTAGGGATGTAAAATGTTAATCGGTTAACCGATAAGCATGAGTCTTATTGGTAAGTTATTCCGGTTAACATTTAAACTCTGCTGCGGGACTCTACTGCCGGCCCCCCATGCCCAGGGCTCTGCGTGGGGCCAGCAGCCAGGACCCCGGGCGCGCAGGGCCG